CCTGCCTCAGCCTCCTGAGTAGCTGGGATTACAGGCATGTGCCACCATGCCCAGCTAATTTTTTGTATTTTTAGTAGAGACGGGGTTTCACCATGTTGACCAGGATGGTCTCGATCTCTTGTCAGTCCCCTTTTTAAACAGACTAATGGGCGACCTCCCATGGCTCCAATCACCAGCTGAAAGGGCACCTGGACCAGTGTATTTCGTATGGAGAACCGCTGCTCCGGGGCGCCGACACAGCAGCCGCGTGGGGCAAAGCAGCTGGCCGAAACAGCCGCACTGGTGACCTGTGGAGCTCCTCCGCCTGGGAATTGCCTAGTCTGTGGGCAATAAAAATGCGGCGTCCACTCACCCTCTGCACTTTCACTGGGAGCTGCAGTCCTGAGCTGTTCCTAAACGGCCATCTTGGATCCTCCCCCTGTATTTTCAAATAGTCTGTTTTTGAGCTTGCTATTTGTTTCTTCCAACTGGTCAATTCTGCTGTTGATTCTCTCCACTGCATTTTGAAAATTTCATTAATTATATTTTTTACCTCTAGGATTTGTTTTTTTAAAATTTTATTTCAACTTCTCTCTTAAATTTATCTGATAAATTTTTGAATTGTCTGTGTTTTCTTGAAGTTTGCTGAGCTTCCTTAAAACAGCTATTTAAAATTCTTTGTTTGAGAGATTGCACATTTCTACCACTTTTTGGGTCAGCCTCTGGCACCTTATTTTGTCTGTTTGGTGAGGTCATATTTCTTTGAACATTCTTGATGCTTGTGACATGTGACCATGTCTGAGCATTGAGGTATTAGGTATTTATTTTAGCCTTTACAAATTGGCTTTGTTTGTACCTGCCCTTTTCAGAGGGCCTGCTAGGGATTCTAAGCAGACTGTTTTGATTTTCCTGAACCTGTGATCACTGTAGCTGTTTCAGCACTACAGGACACTCTAAGCTCAGGTTACTCCAGGTCTTGTGAGGATTCCAAGGTTCATGTGGCCTTCTGGCCCAGATGATCCTGGTGAAGACCCAAGGAGGATACTGGGGCCTAGTGGGAATACTGGCCAGAAAGTCCAGAAGACTATCCTGATAGCTCAGATGGACATACCTCACAGCAGGCCTCTGCACATGTGGTATAGGTACCTTACTGAAGTTAGAGGGGCTAGATTTGAGACTGGGCCCCTATGGGATCTGCTGTGAGAAGGACATTGGTCAGCCTGTCTCATTGACTCAGACAGGCATTCGTCACCCAGCAGGTCTTTACAAAAGTAGGGTTTTTCCTTGTTACAACAGTAAGGGCTAGAGCTGAGGCTGGGTTTCTTTGGGATTGTTGTTAGCCACAAGTTCACTAAGTGCCCTGGTCACTGTGATTTGTACTGTTAGCATAATTCTTCTGTTTTAGACTCTCGGGTCAACCCTACCCTTCTAAAGTGACTTTGCTCCCCTCAGCCACAAATAGTATCTTGCCTCGTGGTGGAGGTGCATCAGCTATTAGCAGGAGCAAATAAGCTCTTAGAGACTGGCTGAGGAGCTTACCTAAGCAAAAGCATGACTTTATGGCATAGTATTTCTAGGGTGACTATATGTTCTGGTTTGGTTTTGACCATCCCAAGTTTGTGTTTGTTGTCTGGGCATAATTATTAATAGGGCTCCAATCATTGTCCTCATTTGGATGAAATATGGTAACCCTACAATTTTCATCTGAATAATGAGGATAATTTTGCCAACTTTTTTTAAAATTACATAGTAGTCCCTCCTTATCTGTGGTTTTGCTTTCTGTGGTTTCAGTTACCTGTGGTCAATGGTGGTCCAAAAATAGTAAGTGGAAAATTACAGAAATAAAGGAGTCATAAATTTTAAATCACATGCCATTTGACCAGGCATGGTGGATCACACCTGTAATCCCAGCACTTTGGGAGACTGAGGTGGGCAGATTATGAGGTCAGGAGTTCAAGATCAGCCTGGCCAAAATAGTGAAACCCCGTCACTACTAAAAATACAAAAAATTAGCCGGGTGTGGTGGTGGTGGCTGCCTGTAATCTCAGTTACTCAGGAGGTTGAAGCAGGAGAATCACTTGAACCTGAGAGGTGGAGGTTGCAGTGAGCTGAGATTGCACCATTGCACTCCAGCCTGGGTAGCAGTGTGAGACTCCGTCTCAAAAAAAAAACAAACAACAAAAAACCTGTACCCACATCGTATCTAGGAAAAAAAAAATAGAGCACAATGATATCTCACGTCATCCTGCTCTGTCCCACCCAGGTCCTTCATCACCCCTTTGTCTTGTATATCCACCTGACCATTACATTATCTACCTGGTTAGTCACTGACATCATGTGTTTCTGACATCCAATCATTGACATAGTCATACCTCACTGATCCAGGATCACCCAAGGCAGATAATCTTTCTTTTGAAGTGTCATCAGAAAGCCAAATAGTAGCCTAATGCTACAACACAATGCCTACTTCATTCACCTCGTTTCATGTATCATGTAGGCATGTATCATCTCACATTATCAGAAGAACAATGAGTACAGTGCAATAAGATATTTTGAGAGAGAGAGAGCACATCCACATAACTTTTATTGTAGTATATTTTTATAATTGTTCTATTTTATTATTTGGTGATGTTAATTCCTTACTGTGACTAATATATAAATTAAATTTCATCATATGTCTGTATAGGAAAAAAGTGGTATATATAGGATATGATACTATTTATGGTTTCAGGCACACACTGGGGCTCTTGGAACATGTCCCCCATGGATAAGGGGAAACTACTATAATGCTGTTTAGAAGATCAAATGAGATTATGTTTATGAAAGTCTTTTAAAGGGATTTAAAGACAACCTGCCCTGGCTGCAAGAGGTGATGGCATTATTTGTTGTTGTTATTATCTATTTTGGCTCATGTTGACATATTAGTTCAAATTCCATTTTCCTGGATATTGGATGTTTTACACTGCTGAGGTCAGGAAACAAGTTATCTTCAGATTAGAGAGGTGTTATTATATATACAGTTTCATTAGCAGTAAAAAATCTCATTTTTTCAAGTTAACACTTCATTTAAAAATAATCGATTTTTACAAAATAAAACCATACTACTACCATAATTTTTTCCCCACTATTCATGCTGGACCTCTAAATGATATAAAAGGAAAAATATATATAAATAGAATTTTAATCACAAAATAAATAGTACAGCACCCATTATAGAAATAGCATTAGCAAGAAACAAAGCATAGACTACCTAAACCCTTGTGTATGGTGTGTGTATGTTTGTGCGTAGTTTTAGAAAAATTTAAGAAATACAAACTTTCTTGTACCTGTTAGTATTGAAATAGACAAATATTCTCAGTAAGAAAGGAAAAAAATTGGGATGGGTAACCAATAAGTTTATAAATAAGGTCCTAAATAACTGTACTGTAGTTTATGCAGTCACATTTCGTCTTTTTAGCAAAACAGATAAACGATCACATCTGTAATTAAACTCTGGTCTGATTGCATTGCCGTATCGAAGTGTTTGCCTCTGGTGTAGTAATGTGCTTTCTCAAATAGGATTGCTTTTCTATTGCTCTTTATTCCTGAATGACCTGATCTTTCCTGAACCAGGGAGAAAATGTGCTTTTCTAGATGAAATAATGATTTCTTTCAAAGTTTGACAGTATTATTTGGTAAGTTATCTCTTTTAGGGTCTCTTAATGATGCCTCCAGGCAATGAAGGAGTTACTGTTCCTCAAGTAGAAAATTAAAAAGTAGAAATGGAAATTTTCATAATGGAAAATTAAAATTGTAAGTTCCTTAAAAGGAAGAAAAGCTTTTATGGATCTCACAGGAGGATTCTTGGTTACTCCACTAAGCAACTTGCCCCCTGACTGTTCATTTTTTTTTTTTAAGTAGTGAAATGTAATGTGTGTTAGAATGTCTTAGAAGTTCAAACTTGTAGCCTGTATGTTCTGTTTGTCCTGAGGCACTAAGAAAGTGTGAAATTTCATATAGAAATATGGATTTTTGGCTTTTCTTAAAAAACTGACATTTTTATATATCAACAAATTAGCTGGCTGTCCTTCTAATGTGCCCTCATTAGAGGCATGGGGCATTTGTCAACCCTTTGTCATGTCACTTAGCTAAAAGACTTGGTGTTAAAGTTTGCAACTCTTAATCCATATTGTCATTCATTTAACAAATTATAAAGACATGTTACATGCAAAACTTTGCTCAAGGAGCTAAGCCAAGATGCACATGGCCTGTTTCTTAAGGGATCTTATGTATGCCAGACCACTGAGATGTTCAGTGGAACACATTCCATGACACATGAATTGAGATATGCTCCAAATGCCTGCTTTGGAAATTCACAATGTGCGTTAGCATATTAAAGGGTTTCAAAGCTTCCAGTAAGAAAATTGTTGTATATTTAACCATTATTGATGAATAAAAGGCCTGGTTCTGGGGAACACACTTTGAGAAATGGTGATCTGCAGCTTGGCTGTAAATTAAAGGAGGTTATTAACATTTACATATTAATAAATACAGAAAATAAAGTAGAAAACTAGAAGAGTCTCATACAAATATATTCTCAGGGATAGAAATAACTGAATTCAAGACTCTTTATCTTCTATCTGGAATAAGGCCCATAAGGTGTAAAAGCTCATATGCCTTTTTTGTAAAACACTAATATTAGATGGGGCTTTATATTTTCTGTTTTTAAAAAATTACCATTTGCCTAGAGAATTTTTCTAAAATGTAGTTATTATGGCAAGTGGGAAGATTAAGTAAATGTGAACTGTTTTGAAGACTGATTGACTAATATATTCATGAAGCACAGCCAAGTCCTGTGGATTTTACCTCGTAAATATCCCTAGTATGCATATACTCCTAACTCACTGGCTCCCTAGAGTAGGCACTACTGTCATCTATCTCAGGTTGACTGAAGCACCTCCCGGTGGTAATACATTTCTTACACTGATCCAGATGAGCTTTTAAAAATGAAAATCTGATCATGTTTCTTGAAAGCTTGGAATGGCTTCCAATTGCTCTTAAAGACCAAACTCCTGATGACTTCCGCAAAGCCTCACATGATCTGAGCCAGCTCTGTCTCTAGCCTCATCTAATTCTACCCCCACCTTTTTCTGTGCTGCATTTTGTTTTTTTCCTTTTTTTTAACTGTTATTTTAGATTCAGGGTTCATGTGAAGGTTTGTTGGTGTCACAGGTATTTGTTGCACAGATTATTTCATCACCCAGGTATTAAGCCTAGCACCCTAACACTAGTTATTTCCTCCACTCTCAAGTAGACCCCAGTCTGTTGTTCCCTTCATTTTGTTCATGAGTTCTCATCATTTGGCTCCTGCTTTTAAGTAAGGACATATAGTATTTGGGTTTCTGTGTAAGTTTGCTAAGAATCTATGTTAGTTTCTGTGTTAGTTTGCCTCCAGCTCCATACATGTTCCCACAAAAGACATGATTTCATTCTTTTTATCGCTGCATAGTACTCCATAGTATATATATACCACATATTCTTTATCCAATCTGTCATTGATGGACATTTAAGTTGATTCTATGTCTTTGCTATTGTGAATAGTGCTGCAGCGCACATTCTCATGCATGTGTCTTTATAGTCAAATAATTTATATTTCTCTGGGTATATACTGCTTTCCACAGTGGTTGTACTAATTTACACTCCCACCAACAGTATATAAGTTTTCCCTTTTCCCTGCAGCCTTGCCAGCGTCTGCTATTTTTTGACTTTTTATAATAGCCATTCTAACTGGTGTGAAATGGTATGTCATTGTGGTTTTGATTTGCATTTCTCTAATGATCTGTGATATTGAGCTTTTTTTATATGTGCTTGTTGGCCACAAGTACGTTTTCTTTTGAAAAGTGTCAGTTCATGTCCTTTGCCCACTTTTTAATGCAGTTGTTGTTCTCTTGTAAATTTGTTCGAGTTTCTTGTAGATGCTGGATATTAGACCTTTGTCACATGCATAGTTTGCAAATATTTTCTCTTATTCTGTATGTTGTCTGTTTACTGATAGTTTCTTTTGCGGTGCAGAAACTTTTAAGTTTAATTAGCTCCCATTTGTCAATTTTTGCTTTTGTTGTGATTGCTTTTGTTGTCTTTGCCATGAAATCTTTACCCATTCCTATTCTAGGATGGTATTGCATAGGTTGTCTTCCAGGGTTTTTGTAGTTTTGGATTTTACATTTAAATATTTAATCCATCTTGAGTTGATTTTTGTATATGGTATAAATAAGGGGGTATATGGTATAAATAAGGGGTCCAGCTTCAATCTTCTGCATATGGCTAGCCAGGTATCCCAACACCATTTCTTAGATAGGGAGTCTTCTCCCCATTTCTTGTTTTTGTCAACTTTGTCAAAGATCAGATGGTCATAGGTGTATGGCCCTGTTTCTGGTCTCTCTCTTCTGTTCCATTGGTCTATGTGCCTGTTTTTGTACCAGTACCATGCTGTTTTGGTTACTGTAGCTTTGTAGCATAGTTTGAAGTCAGGTAATGTGATGCCTCCAGCTTTGTTACTTTTGCTTAAGATTGCCTTTTTTATTCAGGCTCATTTTTGGTGCCATATGAAGTTTAAAATAGTTTTTTCTAGTTCTGTGAAGAATATCCTTGGTAGTTTTATAGGAATAGCATTGAATTTGTGAATTGCTTTGGGCAGTATGGCCATTTTAATGATATTGATTCTTCCTATCCATTAGCATGTGATGTTTTCCCATTTGTTTGTATTTTCTCTGATTTCTTTGAGCAGTGTTTTGTAATTCTCATTGTAAAAGTCATTAACCTCCCTGATTAGCTGTATTCTTAAGTATTTTATTATTTTTGTGGGAACTGTGAATGGGATTGCCTTCCTGATTTGTCTCTCAGCTTGCCTGTTGATGATGTATAAGAATGCTAGTGCTTTTCATATATTGATTTTGTGTCCTGAAACTTTGCTGAAGTTGTTTATCAGCTGAAGGGGCTTTTAAGCCTAGAGACTGTGGGGTTTTCTAGATATAAAATTGTGTCTGCTAACAGGGATAGGTTGATTTCCTCTCTTCCTATTTGGATCCCCTTTGTTTCTTTCTCTTGCCTGTTTTCTCTTGCTGGGATTTCTAATGCTATATTGGAGAAAGAACATTCTTGTCCTGTGCCAGTTTTCAAGGGGAATGCTTCCAGCTGTTGCCCATTCAGTATGATGTTGGCTGTGGGTTTGTCATAGATGGCTCTTATTATTTTGAGGTATTTTCCTTCAATACCTAGTTTATTGGGAGTTTTTAACATGAAGAGATGTTGAATTTTATAGAATGCTTTTTCTGCATCTATTGAGATAATAATGTGGTTTTAATCTTTAGTTCTGTTTATGTGATAAATTACATGTATTGTTTTGCATATGATGAACCAACCTTACATCCTGGGAAGTGAAGCCTGCTTGCTCATGGTGAATTAGCTTTTTGATGTGCTGCTGGATTTGGTTTGCAGGTATTTCATTGAGGATTTTTGTATCAATGTTCATCAAGGATATTGGCCTGAAGTTTTCTTGTTTTGTTGTGTCTCTGCTAGACTTTCATACCAGGGTGATGCTGGCCTCATAGAATGAGGTGGGGAGGAGTCCCTCCTCCTCAGTCTTTGGGAATGGTGTCAGCTCTTCTTTGTGCATTTGGTAGAATTCGGCCGTGAATCCATCTGGTCCTGGGCTTTTATGGTTGGTAGTTTATTTTTTAATATTACTGATTCAATTTCAGAGCTTGTTATTTGTCTATGCAGGGAATCAGTTTCTTCCTGGTTCAGTCTTATGAAGGTGTATATGTTCTTGAATTTATCTATCTCTTCTAGGTTTTCTAGTGCTATGTGGAAAGAGGTGTTCATAGTAGTTTCTGATGGTTATTTTTATTTCTGTGGGGTCAGTGGTGACATCCCCTTCATCATTTCTAATCATTTCTATTTGGATCATCTCTCTCTTTTTTCTTTTTTATTAGTCCAGCTAGTGGCCTATCTTATTAATTTTTTCAAAATGCCAACTCCTGTATTCATTGATGTTTTGAATGTTTTTGTGTGTGTGTGTCTCAGTTTCCTTTAGTTAAGCTCTGATTTGGTTATTTCTTGTTTTCTGCTGGCTTTGGGGTTGATTTTTTTCTTGCTTCTCTAATTCTTTCAGTTGTGATGTTGGGTTGTTAAATTTGAGATCTTTCCAACTTTTTGATGCAAGCATTTAGTGCTATGAATTTCCCTCACATTTTCATAGAGCAGCTGTGCTGTGCTGGGACTCTGCTCCAGCTACTGGTTGCCTTGGACTCTCTAAAGCCCAAAAGATGGAATGGCTAAGTTACCCAAATAGCAAAGATAGTCACCTGCCCCTCCTGCTGGGAGCTCTGTCCTAGGGAGGTTTGAAAGTGCTGTCAGCTGAAGAACACTGCTGGGCATGGCTGAAGATCCTGGTTGGGAAGTCCTGCCCGGTGAGGAGGAATGGGATCGGGGACCTGCTTAAAACAGTCTGTCCACATGTTTGTAGAGCAGCTGTGATGTGCTGGGGGTCTGCTTCAGCTCCTGGTCACCTTGGACTCTTCAGAGCTCAAAGGTCAGAATGGCTAAGTCATCCAAACAGCAAAGATGGCAGCCTGTGCCTCCCTCTGGGTGCTCCATTCCAGGGAAGTTTAAAACCTCTGTTGGCTGGAGAACACTGGTAGGGGTAGCTGAAGACCCTGGTTGGAAGGTCCTGCACAGTGAGGAGGAATATGATTGGGAACCCAATTTAAAAAGAAGTCTGGCCACATTTTTGCAGAGCAGCTATGCTATGCTGGGGGTCTGCTTCAGCCCCTGGTTGCCTCAGAATCTCCAAAGCCCAAAGGCCAGAACGGCTAAGTTGGCCAAACAGCAAAGATGGGGGCCTGCCCCTCCCTCTGAAAAGTCCGTCCCGGGGAGATTTGAAACTTCATGTCAGCTGGAGAACACTGGCCAGAAATGGTGGTTGGGAGATCCTACTCAGGGAGGAAGAATGAGATCAGGGACCCACTTTAAAAAACCAGTCTGGGGAGGGATCCAAGATGGCCATTTAGGAACAGCTTGGGATTGCAGCTCCCAGTGAAAGCGCAGAGGGTGAGTGGATGCCGCATTTTTATTGCCCACAGACTAGGCAATTCCCAGACGGAGGAGCTCCACAGGTCGCCAGTGCAGCTGTTTCGGCCAGTGCGGCTGTGCCGGCCGGGGCCCCTCCTTTGCCCTGCGCGGCCGCTTTGTCGGTGCCCCGGAGCAGCGGTTCTCCGTACAAAATACACCGGTCCTGGTGCCCTTCTGGCTGGTGATTGGAGCCACGGGAAGTCGCCCATTCATCTGTTTAAAAAGGGGACTGAGCAGGGAGCCAAGACAGTAGATTCCAGGGCAAAAAAAGCACCATGAATCTTAGTGCCGCTGTTTAAGCCAGCGCAGTGAGTCGCCGCACGGAAAAAAGCACAAACCGCGGCGCCTCTTCAACAGGCGACTGGAACACCAACTTAAAAAAAAAAAAAAAAGGCTCTGAGGCAGGGAGACAGGCGATCAGGCTCGGCTGGTCCCACCCCCACAAAACAACAGCAATCAGAAACTCTCTCGATTGAGAGTTTCACAGCAAGTGCACCTGAACCCTGGATGGTCCACCTCTGTGGGGGAGGGGCGTCCGCTATTACCGAGGAAGCCCGCCACTACGGAGGTAGTCGGCCAATGCTGAGGCAGCCTGCCGTTGCCAAGGCAACCCGCCACTACAGAGAGACTCCGCCTCAACAAGGGCGGGCCACCATTGCCCAGGCAGTTCTAACTACACCCATATAAACAGGACTGCAGGGAAGTTCACTCAGCAGCTGGGCGGAGCCCACAGCAGCTCAGCAAAGCCTATACAGGCAGACAGTGACTAGGCTGCCTCCTTGCTGGGCAGGGCAGCTCTGAAGGAAAAAAAATAAAGAGAAGGCAGCAGCATAACGGAAACTCATAAAGCCCTAAATCCCTGGGACAGAGCACCTGGGAGCAAAAAGCAGTTTATGAGTTCCGCTGCAGCAAGACCTAAACGTACCTGCCCAGCAGCTCCGAATGAACAACGGAGCTCATAGCTCAGCATTTGAACTTCTGTAAAGAAGAGACCGTCTCCTCAAGCAGCTCCCTGACCCCTATATATCCAAAGAGCCACCTCATAAAGGAGAGATCAGAATGACACTTGGCGGGTATCCTTCTGGGACAAAGATAGCAGAAGAAGAAAACTGGTAACAACCCTTACTGTTCAGCAGCTGCTGCAGGTGAACCCCAGGCTAGCAGGGCCTGGAGTGGATCTCAGTAGACCTACAGCAGAGGGGCCAGACTGTCAGAAGGAAAACCAATAAACAGAAATAACGTCATCATCAACAAACAGAACGTCCACGCAGAGACCCAATCTGAAAGCCAGCAACTACAAAGTCGACAGGTGGATAAATCCATAAAGATGGGAAGAAACCAGTGCAAAAAGGTTGAAAACACCCAAAACCAGAACACCTCTCCTCCTACAAGGGATCACAACTCCTCACCAGCAACGGAACAAGGTTGGAGGGAGAAAGAGTGTGATGAAATGACAGAATCAGACTTCAGAAGGTGGGTAGTAAGAAACATCTGTGAACTTAAAGAACATGTTCTAACCAAATGCAAAGAAACTAAGAACCTTGAAAAAAGATTTGACAAAATGCTAACAAGAATGGACAAAAGAGAAAGGAATAGAAGTGAATTGATGGAGCTGAAAAACGCAACACGAGAACTTCGTGAAGCATGCACAAGTATCAACAGCCGAATTGACCAAGCAGAAGAAAGGATATTAGAGGTCGAAGATCAACTCAACGAAATAAAACGGGAAGGAAAGAATGGAGAAAAAAGGGTAAAAAGGATGAACAAATTCTCCAAGAAATGTGGGACTATGTGAAAAGACCTAATCTGCGTTTGACAGGCATACCTGAATGCGACGAAGAGAATGAATCCAAGCTGGAAAATACTCTTCAGGATATTATCCAGGAAAACTTCCCCAACCTAGCAAGGCAGGCAAACATTCAAGTCCAGGAAATACAGAGAACACCACAAAGATATTCGTCAAGAAGAGCAACCCAAGGCACATAATCGTCAGATTCACCAGGGTTGAAATGAAAGAGAAAATACTAAGGGCAGCCAGAGAGAAAGGCCGGGTTACCCACAAAGGGAAGCCCATCAGACTCACAGCAGATCTCTCAGCAGAAACCCTACAAGCCAGAAGAGAGTGGGGGACAATATTCAACATCGTTAAAGAAAAGAACTTTCAACCCAGAATCTCCTATCCAGCCAAACTAAGCTTCATAAGTGAAGGAAAAATAAAATCCTTTGGGAACATGCAAGTACTCAGAGATTTCGTCACCACCAGGCCTGCTTTACAAGAGCTCCTGAAAGAGGCTCTACACATATAAAGGAACAACCAGTAGCAGCCACTCCAAAAAACATGCGAAATGGTAAAGAGAATCAACACAATGAAGAATCTGCGTCAACTAATGGGCAAAACAGCCAGTATCAAATTCACACATAACAATATTAACCATAGATGTAAATGGACTAAATGCCCCAATCAAAAGACACAGACTGGCAAATTGGACAAAAAGCCAAAACCCATCGGTGTGCTGTATCCAGGTAACCCATCTCACATGCAAGGATACACAAAGGCTCAAAATAAAGGGATGGAGGAAGATTTACCAAGCAAATGGAGAGCAAAAAAAAGCAGGAGTTGCAGTTCTCATCTTTGATAAATTAGATTTTAAAGCAACAAAGATCAAAAGAGACAAAGAAGGACATTACATAATGGTAAAAGGTTCAATGCAACAAGAAGAGTTAATGATCCTAAATATATATGCACCCAATACAGGAGCACCCAGATACATAAGGCAAGTTCTTAATGACTTACAAAGAGACTTAGACTCCTACACAATAATAGTGAGAGACTTTATCACCCCATTTTCAATATTAGACAGACCAACCAGACAGAAAATTAACAAGGATATCCAGGACTTGAACTCAGACCTGGACCAAGCAAACCTAATAGACATTTACAGAACTCTCCACCCCAAATCCACAGAATATACATTCTTCTCAGCACCACATCACACCTACTCTAAA